GGACAGGGAAGATGGTTCAAATTGATGGGAAGATGGATGGAGCCAAATACAGGACCATTCTGGAAGGAAACCTGATGGAGTCTGCAAAAGACCTGAGACTGGGACGGAGATTTGTCTTCCAACAAGACAATGATCCAAAACATAAAGCAAAATCTACAATGGAATGGTTCACAAATAAACATATCCAGGTGTTAGAATGGCCAAGTCAAAGTCCAGACCTGAATCCAATCGTGAATCTGTGGAAAGAACTGAAAACTGCTGTTCACAAACGCTCTCTATCCAACCTCACTGAGCTCGAGCTGTTTTGCAAGGCGGAATGGGCAAAAATTTCAGTCTCTTGATGTGCAAAACTGATAGAGACATACCCCAAGTGACTTACAGCTGTAATCGCAGCAAAAGGTGGCGCTACAAAGTATTAACTTAAGGGGGCTGAATAATTTTGCACGGCCAATTTTTCAGTTTTTTATTTGTTAAAAACGTTTGAAATATCCAATAAATTTCGTTCCACTTCATGATTGTGTCCCACTTGTTGTTGATTCTTCACAAAAAATTACAGTTTTATATCTTTATGTTTGAAGCCTGAAATGTGGCAAAAGGTCGCAAAGTTCAAGGGGGCCGAATACTTTCGCAAGGCACTGTACATGCATTCAGTGTTGTGTATATGGGTGTGAGTACATGTTGTTGTATCTCTTAGCAGTTGAGCTTGTCCTAGACAATTTAAGCCCCACTAGACTTTAATAATCTCATTTTCAAGACATACCATGGACATACCAGCTGAAATGATGACAGTTGTAGCAGCAGTAGTTATTGTAAGCTAGTGCTAAAGTTCAAGCTCTGAAATCTTTGTTGAAACCCCATCTCTAACCTGATTTTTAAGGGTTTCAGCTGATTTGTTTTAAAGCAAGAACCAGTAAAAGGGTCTTAAATATGCACCTGCTGGCTACATAAACTACATAATATAATTATTTAATGAGCTGAAAGACTACAATGAAAGACTAAAGTAAACTAAAACTAACTGTCCCAGGCAAAATGTCAGCATCCTCCCAGATCCAGTAGTAGGTGACATGGAAATATAGAAAGAGCACTATATTTGTATTGCAGCTTGAGCTGCAGTAGTTGGATAGTAGTAATTAAAATGTTACACAGTTGTTGCAGTTATGCTTTAACAGTTGCATCACTTACGGCACAAGAGAAAAGGATTGGGGATGAGTATGGTTAAAGGGTTAAAGGCTGAAGTGACTTAAAAGCATAACAGAGCTGCTGACTCTGCTTCAACTCTCACAGGGTGGACATGTGACCTGTAAACTCACAAAATAATGTATTTAGTTACAGTAATGGCATGACATGCTAATGTTTATAGCATGGATGTATTATTGGAGCCAGATATGATGCTGTCACGTAGCCCTTCAGCCAATTTTTCCTTATACTGTAACAAAAAAATCTCCCTGTGACCCAAAAAGCCTTTTCTCCACAGACCAAGATGATAAAAGAAATGTCTGTAAAACTGTTGACAGCTGCTCTTTTTATTATGAATTTTTAATCTTATGGAGGTTTTAGAAGTATAACACTTCTCAAGACCCCAGAAAAGTTGTTTTGTGATGACATCACAGTGTAAAGTTTATGAGCTAAGAACAAGAGGGCAGGTGAGGCAGAGGGGGAAACTCTAATGTGTTCGCAGTGGGCTGCACGATGCAGAAGCAAATGTGGTAGATAGAAAACTCATGTGTCAGATGAACATTTTAAGTGGCGTGGTACCATCTTTGGGTCTGGGAACCAGTTGTCCTAAATACATCCATGGATAGAAACCTACATTAGAACCAGCAAAACCTTGTTTAATCAGCTTCTTCCTTTTATTCCTGTGGGTCCAGTCTGATTATCACTTCCACTACTTTCCAAATCTGGTTCATATTTGGATACAGCATTATGGGATGTGTTTTTGTTTGTGCATTGCTCTAAGGTAACAAGGAGCTCAGTACTGTGTGTGTCAGCTGATGATTCAGTGCGAGGCGGTGACCAAGCCTTGTTTAGTCAATGTGAGCTTCACTGTGGTCACTGCAGAATGCAACTTTGGTGTCGATTTACAAAATATTTTGCCTTCTGTTAGACTCCTAGGAGCTGTTTTTCCTTCCTTGACTAGGTCAAGGATAAATCTGACTCATCTTGACTTTCAGAATGTCAGTTCTAATCAACATAATGTCTGCATGTAAGTATTGCATCTTGCAAAAGCCATGTTGTAAAAATAGTAACAATTTGTTGAGGCTGTTAAGATGTCAATCATATCTCAACACTATATGGAAAAGGTGAGGGTTAAGAATTGCATTTGTTTTTGGCCAATATTAGAAGGAATATCAGCGGAGAGTATTTAAGTTGTGTTTTTACCAGCTGGACATGTGATGGGCAAAGAGCAGTCATATATTTCTTTATCAAGGTGCCTCTCTGCCAGATATTTCCATTAGCTTGTTAAATATGCAGCTCAGTGAGTGGGGCCATGTGATAGTTGCACTTGTGATTTTCTTATGATTCATACTTGACTCACAGTTTTAGTGGTACAAATTATATCTCAATATTTTGTGCCCTTAAATTCAATGATGGACTTTGATTTATACATAAACCCTGTCTGTCTTTTTTTAATGAATAAGATTATTACTCCCAAATGATATAATACATCCTTGTGTCTTTGCATTTTAACCTAAGGTCTGCAGTGAACATGGCACAGAAGGCAAAGTTGTGTAAACATGCCTTTTTCTTTTTCTGGTTTCCACTATATAGTATATTCCTTTTTAGATCACTCCCTAACCTCCCCCAACCTTTCTCCCATAAATCTATCTTTCCTTCTTTCCTGTTTGAGGCCATTAATTCGGTCCATCTGGCTCCCCCCGTTGGGCAGCAAAAGGAAATGACTGAGCAAGAATTCCTTGATTACATTTTGGACTTGTCAGTTTAAAATTAAAGTTAGTCTTTAGTCACTTTTGTTACTGGATGTTCTGTCACTTTTAACAGCTAACTTGAATGGTTGTCATGTTCTATTTAGCAGTTGTCCTTTTCTACTACTTCTACTAATACTACTACTGCCCCCTTCTTATTTCATGTTCTTCTATATACTATAGCCTGATTCCAATTTTTTGTCCAGAGCATTGAACTTCAGTATTCTAGCTTTAACTTATATAGCTACTTTGTGCATATTTAGTATGGACAGACAGTAAACATCTGTTTAAAAGCCATAACAGAGAAGGAGACAGAAAACAAGAAGGGTGGGGTGGTTTATATAATTCTCTGAGGACAATACCTCCTAGAAAGAATGATACAATAGACTTCATTCACATCCACGACAACAACATCATGACATTTGTTGCTGTGACTGGACATCGTGCATCCACCCAACCCACAGATACCAGATAGTTTCTGTCAGTAGTGAAGTGAAAGCACAGGCAGAAGCGGTGGAGCTGCCAACATGCACAAAGTGCCTCAGACAAAAGCTGTTTACTGTGTGTAAAGCACTATGAAAACTTACATTAAAAAGCACATTTTAACTTGGCATCATTTTCTTCTTTTTCTCTATAGTGCATCAACACATATTCCCCCCTAATGTTTGTGTTATATAACCAAAGTAGTCACTTGGTTTTTCTAGCATGTTTGGACAGTTTTTTCCTTGTTTGTATCCTGCAGCATGATAAGGTTCTGCTTAACATGCAGCAAAGCAACAGAGTACATAACGGCACACAACCCATTATAAAACACCACCCAACCTTCACATGCAGTGTGTTTTCTGATGGTCTTTTCTCTTTGTCTGTTTCTGTTTGTCTGAACATGCAGTCTCTTTTTAATTAAAAATAGAGCTCATCATTGGTATAATGACATAAAACGTAACAAGGTTTATACATGACACGTTTTCACCCAGCGGCTGAATGGTATGTTTGACGACCCTCAAACATTACAGGCTAATTAAATGTCAAAACTCTGATACTTATTTGATACATATTTATTTGTGTTCTGGTCTGTGGCCAGAGGTTGAATTGGAGCACAGATAGAGGAAGCCAGAACGATAATATAAAAAATAGTCAGTCAGTGGAGCAGTCAGGGTGTTAATCTACAGCTCTCTTCTTTGGGTTGCCAGGTTTGCCAGGGTTTTCCAGCATGTTTGGAAAGAAGAAAAAGCGGCTGGAGATCTCAGCTCCATCTAACTTTGAGCACCGGGTCCACACAGGCTTTGACCCGCGGGAGCAGAAGTTCACGGGCCTGCCGCAGCAATGGCAGAGCCTCCTGGCCGACACTGCCAACCGCCCCAAGCCCATGGTGGACCCTTCTTACATCACCCCCATCCAGCTAGCGCCAATGAAGGTAGAGTATAGCGGGACAGAGGGCATCAGGCCTGAGCACTGGGGATAAATCATTGTCATTTTCTGCTTATTGCTCACTTCACCTTTCTCATGTCTTTGTGGCTCTTTTGCTCCTCATCCCTCTGGTGTTCCTCCCCCACTCTCCCCCATATCCCTGCACTCTCTGTCTATATGAACTGTATGAACAATCCTTATTGCTTCCCTCCACTGTCCCAAGCATATTTCATCTACTTTAATACCTTTTGTATTTTCATTCTGTATAGCTGGCTTTCACTTCAGTGTCTCTCACCATCTCACCCTCCACCTGTTAAAATCCTTAGAGACAAAGTAGATAATCCTCAGTGCCACCTGGCCACTTCACGTGATTCAAATTTCCTATTCACATATGAAATTATAGTCATTGTACGGCATACCAAGCTGCACGTTGCTCTTAAAAAGCCACCATGTAAAAGCCAAACTCCTAAGCATGAATCTTACTGAGGTAAACTATAAGCTCCAATGAGTTCATATGTAGAAAGTCGGAGATCTACAGCTGAGATCTTTGCTAGCAGGTTAGCCATAAGCATTTGATAAACCTATAGACCTTTTGTCTCCTGCTGGTAAAAAAAAAACTATTCTGAATGCAACTTTAAAGATACTATCTTATTAAACTGAATTATTTTTCTATTTAAAGAACATGGCTGTCACCAGAAATCCATATACAAACTGAAGCTTTGTTTCATTTGGCAGTGTGATTTGACCTCCTTTCCAATAATCCCCATCAAATCCCCTGTGACTGTGATTGTGTCTTTTTTCTCTGACCCTTCTGAGTTTCTCCTCTGATGTGTTGTTGTTCATTCTGTTCGTTTGATCAACTAAGAAAAGGGCTGTAGTGCATTATAGTCATTTAAACATAATTTAAGCAGTAATTGAGCCTTAATATTTCTGTGCACCTTTCTCTGGGTTGTAACAGAACTTCTTATGTATATTCTGAGGGCTTTCTCGTACATGCACTAGGATGCATTAGGTCTCATGGGCCTTCACAAAGTCACCCTTTAAATTTATGTTTTGTTTGTTTAAAAGTGATACAGGAAATCATAAAGGAGGCAGGATCTGGCTGTTTATGTCTCACTGGTGTCTTGTAAGCCCGTTTGGGCTGGGCATGTAAAAATGCATGACACCGGACTGTTTCTGGTCTCTTCTTACTGAATGTGTGACCCAGGCTCTCACCTTCCTGAGGATCACTGACCTTCAGCTGTGAAATCCAGGACCCTTTCCTACTGTATGTGTTTTACAACACCTGTTTACACCCTTTTTGTTGACCCTGATAATACTTTGGGATGCATTACATTTAAAGCAGTGAGACTAAATGCACTTTTGTGAGCTTTGATTATCAAGCTAACTTATATTTTAATCTCTGAGGAAGCACTTACAGGTCCTGCTGACAGGAAAATGCGTGATCAGACATCCACAAACGTCATGTAACGGAGAACAGCAATATGCCACAGGAGATATCTCTGAAGAGGGGGAAACAAGAAAATAATTCTCTTCCTCTCTTCACAGATATCTCCCAAGAAAGTCCGGTCATCCGAATCACCGTTGCCCAAAGTATGACTTTCTCTTCCCTTCTGTTTTTAACCCCCTTCTTCTTCTTTTTTTTGTTGGCCTCTCTCACACAGTCACAACTCTGCTGTTTTGTTTGCACATCTCTCCTCCGCTGCCTGCTGCCATGCATTCAGGTGGAGGTGGCGTGTCAGCAGGCACAAGGAGGAACACTTGAGAATGACTCCACACATGACATAACTACATTGCTCTGCCAAGTCTTTTCTTAGACCTCATCTTCACTCTCCTTTTTGTTTCATTCGCATGAGCCTGTATCTTAAAATGACAAAATGAACTATAGCGGCATGTTCCCTTGTTTCTCCCCTTGCTATGGAGCACCACTGATAATGATGATGATGATAATGATTGTGATGACAATGGGTGCTAAGATGTGAAGTGCATGTTGCCATGACAGTTGATTCTGCTCTGCTGTAGAACACACTCAGTAGAAATTAGGCCACAAAGCGTTTGCATGTTAGAAGAACCCTTCGATCCACTGCTTGATTCGACCCAGCCCACACTGCCTCCTCTCACCTTCCTTCCGATTGTCATTTCCCATTATACAAGAAGCAACAAACAAAATGACATAAAGATGTTTTGTAATTCATCTGTCACTGCGTGATTGAGAGAGAGGCCGTTCAGCTGGATGCACTGTCAGTAGGTGCACTCCAGTAGTTGGTCGGTTGGAGAGTCATTGAACTGACAACAAATGTATGCACAATAATTACGTGTAAGCTCACAGGAAAACACATGGAAGCAGCGCAGGTGCCATAATAAGTAGAAAACACCCCCATGTCCCGATAAATTATATTACTGGTACAGTAATGCTCACAGCAGATAACTGACCAGGGCAGAGCCGTGCATATAATTTTACAATCATCAATGACAAAATACATTTTAATATTTATGATGGAAGTCATGAAAACAGTGGTTGTAGGTGCCTTTCTAACAGTAATGTAGTACTCGACACAGACTGGGGACTCAGGGTTTAGTGACAAAACTACGACACTGCATGAAAAAATGTGTAATCCCCCCAACTGTTATTTTTACCTTGTTCGGGAGGGTTGAAGTCTTAACTGGAGGATCTGAGGTGTTTGCCAACTGTTAACTGACATAAGCAGGACATATCTCTTACATGTGTTTATAGCTCAATATTAAAAGAGCTGATAATTGAAGATGTGCACAATAAAAACATTTGTCATTCTCCTCAGTAACCAATCATTGCTTCAGACTTTTGAGTCAGTGCCAAATCTTGGGAAGACGTTTGCAATAGATAAGGATATTTCAACGGAAAGTTAAGTGAGCATTGGCACATAAAAGGGATGAAGCTCAGTAACAGGAAGCCAAAGTCAGAGATAGATAGATAGATATAAGGCGGACCGATGATGTTGATGAAAAACAGAAGGTATTTGCGACTGTAATTCTTACTGGGTTTGGTTGGTGTACATCACAGATTTATGATCTCCAAATTGGATTAAAATCATTGAGGTCAAATTAACCTAACCTCACGTAGAGGAAGAAAAATCCAATCTGGCTCTTGTGTGTCTTTTAAACAAATAGAAAAGCTGACGAGGCACCGTGGAAAGTAGTTTGATATTACTTGGAAGCTGGGGTCACTTCAAACCCACATGAAAAACCGAAGGATATCACTTTGCTCTCATACAGAGTGCACACAGAGAATACAAACTAACAAAGTTGTAAATAAGTCATGTGAGTGTGCTCGTTTGATGAAGCTCATGAAGGAAACTCTGTTGTTTGCTCAAATTCAGTGTGCGATGCCAGAACTCAGGTTTTGCTTTTTGTCAGAACTTGTTCTGTGCTTACGAATCTGCATCTGCTGACTCAGACCAACCTGCTTTTAGAATACCACACAGGATCTTTGCAGTAGAGTTTTTGGTACTTTTCTTCTTTGTCTTTTTAATGGTATTTGATATTCTAATGAGAGTAGGCTATGTGTATGTATTTGTGTGTATTCTTGTGTGTGTGTGTGTGTGTGTGTGTGTGTGTGTGTGTGATCCTTGCTCCCAAGGCGTATTAGGGTTATTTATAGTGTCTTACCCATGATGCCCTTCTCCCCTGGTTGCCATGACATTTGATTGACACAAGTCTTCTTCTGCATGGCAGTCACCTCCAGCTCTGTCTGCTAAGTGTGTGTTTGTGTGTATGTTTGTGCACCCACCAGGTGGGCATAGATGAAGCAGTCTCCAGTGTGGCAGACATCCAGCGCTGTCCTCACCAAACGGTGCAGAGGAACAGAGTACAGAACAAAGGCAGCATGGTGTGTGTGCATGTTTGCCAGTTTTTGTATATGTATTTTTGTGTGTGCATGTAGAGCAGTTAGAGAAGTTGATGCGGTCGTCATGCTGAAGTAACTAAACCTTCTGTATTGTGTGCTCATTGTGTATTCAGAAGGCCTGTATCCTTGTTGTCAGACTGCACATCTCAGCTGAGCATTGCTTAAAGCTCTCATCTCTATTCTCCTCTTCCCCATCCAGCAGCCCAGGCACACATGCTAATCCAGAAGTATAGGCTAACACCATACCCTAACAGCATTTCTATGTTTAAACATTTCTGCAGTCTGACAAATACAGTTATGTGTATGTGGGGTGTGTGGCGGTGCATGATAAGTGTGATATAGCAACCGTCAAGTGAAGCGCCGTCATTTTTATGTTGCATTTTTAAAAATTTGATGTTGATGTACATATTCAAAAGTGTGCGACATGCGGTTACATGTGTGTTGCGTTCATTAGCACCAGCAGGGGGTAGGGCCATGGCTGTTATTAACAGGAGTCTCAAGTTGCACCTTGACTTTGACGCCCTCAAATTGTAGACCCCAATAAGGAGCTGAGGAGATCATTTACTGTGGTGGTGGTGTGTGTGTGTGTGTGTGTGTGTGTGTGTGCTGTAGATGCATATGTATGGTATGTGTGGGCATGCGTGTGAGAGCTTGGGCCTGCTAATGCTGCAGTATCTCCTTGTTCCTATTTCCTCACTCTTCCTCAGCTGTGGGCTGATATTGCAAGTCTGCATTCTTGTAAATAAAAAGTGAATGACCTGTGTAGGAAAGATGATATATATATAAAAGCAAAGGCATTTGGGAGTAGATTCTTTCTGGACTTCTTGTGCTTCAACTCTCCTGCCTCAACTGAATACTTTGCTGCCTTAGTTTACAGAATTTCCTCTGTTTGTGTCATTTGCATGTTGGACTTTTAGAAGACGCTGAGAAATTTACAATGTGTTCAACAAAAGATTCCTATAAAAGCAATACATAACTCAATTACTAGTGTTTAGTGAACGTGTCAGAGCCGTGATAACCTGACAACCTGTGCTCAAGGAAAAGGCAGGAGGATGTGCCTGGAGTGAATTAACAACAGAATAGTTATTATTGGATTATTTGAAATCACAGCAGTGAAGTTTAGATTCTTACCACACAAGGTCATGACAGTGGCAGAAAGATAGTAATATACTGAGTTAACACATGATACTGTAAGTAGTAGAAACCTGATCTACTGTATGTACAGTATATATATACAACAAAGTATGATGTGGATCAAAGTAATATTGTATATAATGTATAGTATACAATGTATAGGAAAGTTATAGGGCTTACTGAAAACTGGCCACTGTGAGTCAACACATAATGCTACATATTGCAACTAAATTAATGTGAGAGTAGTTTAATGTCTTGAGTTGATCCACACATTTTCCACAAATTCACCCAACAAAGCCAGTGATGAATGGAGACAGGGTGGACGTGTACATGTGGTTTTTAATGCAGGTAAATGAAAGCTGACTGCTCGCTTACACATTCAAAGTAGACACTTATCTTTCTCTTGATAAAGGTCAGGGAAGATGGAGTGAAGGATAATGTCGGTATTACTGAATAAAGTGGTATTTGAAAAGGTGTTGTTTTGGGTGACTGCTGCTGAGGCTGCAGGAAGGGAACCTTGTAGCAAGTGAGAGTATGACGTGTAGGATGTTCAGCAGTAAATTCCAGCAGTTATGTAATGTTTGTGACTTCTAACATTTCCCGGAATGACTGCTGACAGCCTCCAGTGTCTGTGCCTTAACTTGCTGTATTTCAGCTGTGGGTTACATAAGCTTTAAGTAGTGTAGGTGTACAGAGCTCTGATAGTAGTTGCAAAAAAAAATATCTCAATCTTACATCACACTGGAAAAATGCAGCCAGAACTGTAGGAAATGTTAATGTAAAGTGTTGCTCACATCTTTACTGTAATTCATCTACAATTTCAGTAACTTAAATGTGTATAGGTTAACCAAATTTGTCATAATACTGCTTATAGGGACACAAGTGATTTGACTGGCCCAGTGAGGATGATAACTGGTCTACTGTAAATCTCAGTGGGTCAGTGATAGCTCAGCACAGCCACCAGGGGAGGAGGAAACTTGATCAGTGGGTCTTGTGATGGGTAGCTGGGCTGGGAGCAGAGGGCCAGACTTGGATTTGATTCGGCCGTGCAGCTGCAGCTGTGCAGAGCGATTATGGTGACTGGGGCCAGAGCTACCAGGAGGATCGAGGTGCTGCGAGAAGCAGGGGAGGTGGTGGGTACAGCAAAGACCGAGGAGGCAATGGTGTTTAAACCCCAGGCAAAGATGATTCATAAACAGTTACAGGTGGGGCGCTCTAGTGTTTCTGTATCTAGTGAGCCAGAACTGCATGCTGGTATGCTGGCGATGCAGATTTGTCTGTGCAACAGGTCTCAGCTCTCACTGCCAGCAGTTCCCAGCACATAGTGAAAACATATTTGACTCTGTTTCAAACCTGTTTCTATTTTTGCTGCTTTTTTTACAGTAAACTGTGATACTGCATAAATTATTGCTCTATAGAAAGCAGGATGTCTTCTCATGTTTCTTGTAAAAGGGAAGGTTTACACTGCATGGCAGACTGATTTTTGTAGCTTTGCTGGGTTTGCTGTTTGTATACATATGAAAAAGGAGCTTAGGAAGAAATACAAACCTGTGTCTTTATTGAACAGGGAAGCAGG